CTCGTTTTGCGTCTCTTCCCGATCTTCCCAATCCTATCTCCCACAAACACAGCCTAAATCCGTAAAGATGCATGGCTAGCTCGCTCGATCTGTCACGGCACATAGTGGGTGTCAGTGCCTGCCTGCTTGTCTGCTCTCTCCCTTCCCCGAAATTCAGTACGTGTGCGCGCCATCTGACCTGACATGACCATCCTGCATGAGCTGCCGCATTGTGGTGTGGCAAATGTTTTGTGGCACTCGCTTGCTATCCTGCGCCTACCCCCTACCACTTCTGGATCAGTACGTAGATAAGTCGAGTACCATCAGCGATAGCAATAAATCAGGTGATCATCCGGGTATGAACAATGATGGCTGCGATGTGTGCGCTGAATGAGCTTGTGACTTTATGAGCGTGAGAAGATGGATGGATAGTGGGGGCAGATGTTTAGTTTCGTTGGGCAAAGTTATTCGCGTTTTATATTAGTCACGTATAAAAGGGCCACGTAGAGGAAAATTCAACCGAGCAAAGTAAGGACTACTTAATCGACGTGACAAATATACTACTCCTACTGTCCTAGGCATAAAGAGAAAGGAGTAGAACCGACCTTCGTAAACAAATATATTAGCACAAGTCATCATAACAAACTGGTTTAATCTTATCTGCTTAGCTAAACGGGTGCTAATCGCTCAAAGCGAACGCGTAATCGCCGGCACCTTTATTCCCTTCATACTTGTCAGTTGTCACCACCTTTGCGACTAATTAAGGTCTCGAGGGAAGTTGTGATCATTCTCAAAAGGTGGTTTCTACTCGTCTTCTGCCTTTGGGGGAGGAAAAGGGGAATTTGTTTGATCAGCGAGAGATTAGTACGCCCTCGTACTACCTTGTCACGGACCGCTTCTAATTACTACTTTGCAGAGTCTTCTGTTTTGATGAATCGTTTCTTTTGGACGCTACTGACAAAAGCTCACACGAAGCGAAGGTCTCAAAAAGGGCTATCACGGCCGGAAGCGATCAACTGTGGACGAATTCGCAGAAAAGACAGCGAAAAGGTAATAAAAAGGGGACAAAACCGATATCATCCAACAAAAGCTCGTTGTTGAGTTCAGAAAGAAAGAAAAGCTCGTTTTCTTTTCGTGTCTTTAGCTCTTCCATCTGTTGTTGCTGCCGCCGCTTCTTCCCCTTTCGCCTTTCTCCAAAATAAAAATTGTCACCTAGCCAAAACAGACTCGGTTGCGAGTAGTATACCAAAGTTATTACTCCCTCCTGCCTGCAAAGCTCCATCCGAGCAGCCAAATTAATTGGGAAGTGGTGGTACTAGCAGCTATACGAGCTACAGTACTAGGTATATTAGCTGCACCCGGCAGGCTGTCGTGGGTGAATGGGGACACGGCGAAGGAATTTCGATGGATCCATTCGCCGGTGGCAGCCGAACAACAATAATGGTACGTACCCACTAGCAGGCGCACACGCACGCACATTCACCGTTGGACTATGCGCGCGGGGGCGGCAGGAGCAGGAGGAGCAGCTCCCACCCCATCCGCGCGCACTAGCGATAGCGATAGCGATATCGTGAGATGGCGCGAGGCCCTCACCGCCGCGGCAGGCAGGGGGGGTGGGCTGCCACCGCCCCCGCAGACGTGCGCGGCCGCTTTAGCCCTTGTCGGAGCGAGCGGGTCCCCTTCCCACGCGCGGGCGGCTCGATCTGGCTCTCCCATCGATCCACCGATCGGTTTCGATCGATCCCTCCCGCCCTTCCCGCGCGCCGAGTGCGATCTCTCGCCACCACCACCAACGTGGCACGGCACCGCGTGTGGTGTGGTACGGTGGGGTTGGGGGTGTGGTGTGCGGTGGCGTCGCGCCGTTGGCTCGCGCGGATGCGGATGGATGGGTGCATTCGCCGGGGCGGGGCCCTGGCCGAGACGCCCGGGAGGCTTCGATCGATCGCATTGGCTGGCGCGCGTAAGGGGGTCAGCGTGTGGCGGAAGTGGATTGACCGGAGGCGGACGCGGACGCGTCGGCCACATCACCCATCACCAAAGCTAGGGCGTGCAAATTAAAACCTGTAGCAAGTTAGCAACGGGATTTCCCGTCCGTATATACATCGTGCGCGACTACAACGGACATCGACCATACGTACCGGTACCACGAGAATTCACCGCCGGACTCCCGGCTCATTCTGCTACTAGTTTCGTTTTCGCATGTCCACCTGTTTCCACCCACTAACCCACTCAAACCTATTACTTCTCTCCCAACTAATAGTAGACATACGTGGTGTTTTTGTGTTAGTGACAAGTAAGGAACCTCGTTTTCCGCGCACGCACTATCCAAACTACTAAATATTGTGTTTTTTCAAAAAAAATTATATAGAAAAAGTTATTTTAATAATATATTAATCTTTTTTTAAAATAATTAACAGTCAACTAATCATACGCTCATGTCACATCGTTTTGCGTATTTCTTGATTTTCCTTTTATCTTTTCTCTCGAACACACCCAGTTGGTATTACATGGCCGAACTAGTTAATTGGTTGGCTAGTAGGTTCTGCTTGGTGAGAAAATTTGGATCTTTGTCAAAACTAGTTTTACAGCACTAAGCCAAGTGGAGGTTTCATTGTTACCATTAGTCATTGGTCTACTTACATGGAAACATATATTATGTATACAAGTTTTCTACACACCAACTAAAAAATATCATAAAAATTCTTTACCAATTGATAACTAGAAACCGCGCGCATGCGGTTTATATATACAATCAATTCTAAGACTTTTCTCATTAATTTTTTTTTCTTAATATAATAATACCAAAATCGTAATTAGTAATAATACAAATTTGGAGTGGCTGTGAAGTCTTAATTTAGTTTACGATCAATCAAACAATATATAGATTTGGGAATTACTAAGATCAAAGTTGCATTGTGTATGGGTCTCAATCTTAGTAGTTTCATTTTTTTCCTACAAATATTTTCATTACTTAATAGTTCATAAATTCTATGTTTGATAATGTGAAGTTTCAATATATTGATATCTTGATTTTTAATATTTCATTAACTTTATAAGATTGAAATATAGAATTAATGACAAGCCTATATTTTCATATTTATTTACTATTTTTTACATGCAATTTTTTTATCTGAATGTCCATTCGGTATATAGGCAAAAATTGATAACGAAAATGCTATAGACGGAGATCCCGTTCCAAGGTGTGGACCGGGTCTGCCCCCCATACGCCGGGAGGCATGCGCAAACCACCACTTGATCTAGTTGATTAGCTGCTTATCGCCTGTAGTGTCGCCTCCTCCTACTCCTCCTCTTGCCTAGGAAGGGCGAGGATCACCGAAGCCACTGTCACGATGACTAGGAGGATGAGAGAAACCTCAGCCATCGCATCGAGAGGATGGAAGGACTGTGCCGATGGAGGATAGGAGAGTGGCAACGTAGTCGTTGTCGTGGGGAGACCATCATCACCGTCATCGCCAAGAGAGGATAGGGGTTGAAGCGGCTGTCTCCATCGAAGGAGGTAGTGGCCACCTCCATCGATAAAGGAAGGGCGATGCTAATGAAATCGAAACATATAAATATTACGAATTGATACTCTGGTACCTTATCTGGTATTAGAAGGTATCGATATGATACCGATGCAGTATCGGCTAGTACCAACAAGTATCAGCTAGTACCAACAAGTATCAGCTATTACTATGGGTTCTAGATCTGATCTCGACAACTATCAAGTGATAATGATGGGGTATCGGATCTAATATCGACGACTATTGGCTAGTGTCGATGAGGTATCAGAATCTTATACCTGCTGTTGATTGGTATCATACCGTTCTAACGGAACTATGAGGTATAGCAACCCGTATTTGATAGAGTAAATACATAGTAACAGTGGATTGCAGCTTATATTTGCAAGTGTGTATGATGTCCAACTATCGACCTATTATCGATTTAAGTAGGAATGCTATGGTGTAGACTGATCGATATAGTAAGAGTTGTACATCATATATTCATGTCTAATGATCTCTACAGTCATTCATATATGAAATACGTTGTATCTCATTTGTGAAAATAGATTCCAATAGTTGTACATCAAATCTAATTCTGTTTTTTATAAATCGATTGTATACAAAACACAAACACATACTATATGGAAACAAAAGCTCAGAGTTGTATATCAACTCTAATTCTACAGCTTCGTGTAAAATTACCTAGGAAAGTCAGCTGGTCCCTCTTAAAAATTTCCTTGACATAGTTCCGAACATCATGTAATCACTTCACCTAAAAGCAGGTAGCACTGATGAGCCAAGTCATATTTAAAAGCGCAATGAATTTGATCCTGCCCGTTGCTGTTGAGAGCTGATCTGTACCCCTCCTCAAGTATCTATACGCAGCTTCATACTGCTAAGCGCTAAAAACACCCTGGTTGGTTTGGCTCGCACGTGGCGCGTCGTCCTACGCACGTGCACGGCCCCACGGACCATCATTCGTAGGGCTGCGCGCCTCTCTCCCCCTGCCTGCGCGGCTGCGGGCCTGCGGCTTCCTTCGCTAGGTTGACTACTCCCACCGACTGGTTTTGCGAACGGCCCACGCACGCAGGTGGCGGCACACTCAACCAGCCAGCCAGAACAAAAAATTTACAACCAAAAACGGAGGCAAGCACAGCACGCTGCTGCACCAATTTCCCTTGCTGTTCCTCCTCCCTCACATCCGTCCTCTCTCCTCTCCTCTCCAAGAGACATAAAAATATTGGGAAAAGAATCCCACTATCTCATGACATATGAGAAGAGAGAGAGATAGAAAGGGAGAGCAATTCAATTGAGGCCATCCACAAGACATTCCTCCTCTCCTTGACTCGTGCCTGCAGCTAGCTACTCGAGACATCCAGGAGCTCCTCATCCTCCTTGCCTCTCTCTCTTCTCCTTGTGTTGATAGCGAGAAATCGTTGGCGAGGATCGAGCAATTGGGATTCTTCTTGCATGGATGCGGCCCACTGGCATCAGGTAATTAAGCTGCGGCGGCTGATCTGCGCTCGATCCTTTCTCGAATCGGTGCATGCAACACCGGCGACATGTCTACAATTAAGATCTCTCACCGGGGGCCCGGCCGGGTCGATTTTGGCTTCTGCTCTTCTTCTGGATCTTGTTGATGTGGGTGTTTCTTGGTCGATCCTTCTTGTTTAATCTGCCTGTGCCTTGATCTTGGCGCTTGCTTTTCCTCTGGTGGGATACGGTGATCTCTATTCTCTCTCGGCTTTGTTTGCTCTTGGGAACCGCCATGGCCAACCTTTTATTCTTTGTGCAGATCTATGCACGGATCGGCCATATTCTTCTCGCTCTGTGTGTATGTGGGTTAGTTTCTGTCTTCTCCATTGGCTTCGAGCTGAGGGCTCTTGTTGTTGTTGTTTGGGGCCTTTTAATTCTCTTGCTCCCTCCTCTCCTTCCCCTTTTAATCCTTGAAAGGAGCACACGACGCACCGCTTTTCTTTTCCTTTGTTCCTCGCTTTCTTTCTTATCCTCCCTTTCCTTTTTATCTTTTCATCTCTCTTTTCCTCATGGCTTTTCTCTCCACCCCTCACCCTTTCGTCTCTCTCCTCAAGCCCACACCTTGCATCAAAAGAGTAGCCATGTCTTGGAGGATGATGTAGTAGCAGCAGCAGCAGTACTGCTACGCCACAAACACAACCCTACAAGAGCACAAACAAAGTTGTGTGTTTTGTGTGGTGGTGTGTTTTCTCTCTCATCTTTACTTTGCTTTTTTTTTCCCGCTTTATTTCTATCTTTCACCTTTCCCTCTTCTAGCTTTAATCTCGCTTTGTATCCATTTGCTTGGTTCTTTGTTGCACCATAAGGATCCTAGCTCACATCACACCTCATGCTCATTCATCTTCCCCCATTCGTCTCTCATATACTACATGTTCTTGCTTCTTGGTTCTTGCTAATTGTCTAGTATTGCATAACTTAGTTCTAGGTTTGTGTTGATACTTGCAATTGCAACATCTAATGGAGTGCAACGACATGTGTCAATCACCAGGGGCTAGGGCTAGTGAAGCCCATGGAAGAGATGCTGATGGGTGCAAATCCAAATCCTAATGGGAGCTCAAATCAGCCACCGCCACCGCCGTCCTCGGCGGCCAGCGCCCAGCGGCCTATCGCCCCACCGGCGGCTGGAGCGGCCGCCGGCGCGGGCGCCGCCGGAGCTGGGGCTGGCACGGAGCGCCGCGCGCGGCCGCAGAAGGAGAAGGCGCTCAACTGCCCGCGGTGCAACTCGACGAACACCAAGTTCTGCTACTACAACAACTACAGCCTCCAGCAGCCGCGCTACTTCTGCAAGACGTGCCGCCGCTACTGGACGGAGGGCGGCTCGCTCCGCAACGTCCCCGTCGGCGGCGGCTCACGGAAGAACAAGCGCTCGTCGTCCTCGGTGGTGCCGTCGGCGGCCGCGTCGGCCTCCACCTCCGCGGCGGTGTCCGGCTCGGTCCCCGTGGGGCTGGCGGCCAAGAACCCGAAGCTGATGCACGAGGGAGCGCAGGACCTCAACCTAGCGTTCCCGCACCACCACGGCCGCGCCCTGCAGCCGCCGGAGTTCACGGCGTTCCCGAGCTTGGAGAGCAGCAGCGTGTGCAACCCCGGAGGCAACCTGGCGGCGGCGAACGGCGCCGGTGGCAGGGGCAGCGTGGGCGCGTTCTCGGCGATGGAGTTGCTGAGGAGCACCGGCTGCTACGTTCCGCTGCCGCAGATGGCGCCGCTAGGGATGCCGGCGGAGTACGCAGCTGCGGGGTTCCATCTCGGCGAGTTCCGCATGCCACCGCCGCCACAGCAGCAGCAGCAGCAACAAGCTCAGACCGTGCTCGGTTTCTCCCTGGACACGCACGGCGCGGGTGCAGGCGGCGGCTCCGGGGTGTTCGGCGCGTGCAGCGCTGGGTTGCAAGAGAGCGCGGCGGGCAGGTTGCTGTTCCCCTTCGAGGACCTGAAGCCGGTGGTGAGCGCCGCGGCTGGCGACGCGAACAGCGGCGGCGATCATCAGTACGACCACGGCAAGAACCAAGGTGGTGGCGGCGGCGTCATCGGTGGCCATGAGGCCCCAGGGTTCTGGAATAGCAGCATGATCGGCAACGGCAGCAGCAATGGCGGCGGCGGCGGCGGTTCTTGGTAAGGTGGTGCGAGCTGCTACTGCTTGCCCGCCGCCGCCATGCATGGCTCATGCATGCACGCGTGGTGGTCAGCAGCTAGCAGCATGTGGAGATAGAGAAACGAGATAGAGACAAGGGGGGTTAATAAGCCTGTGGTGATTAGTGTTACATATGGCGTTTTGTTTCTCTTTGCTTTGTTTGGTTTTTCGGTTTCATGGTGTTGCTTCTTTGTTGTTTGTTCATGTGTGTGTGGTTAATTATCGGCTTGGGGGCTGGCTAACACAGCAGGATACACAGATTTTTAAGGGTGGTGAACTTGGTGATATTATACAGCTGCTGATCTATTCACCAATCAATCTCTCATTTTGTGATTTAATCATGTCATGTAGAATCTGCACTGAAGCATGATACTCTTATCATTTTTTTAGTTTTGATGGCTGTGTGTGTGTCCACGGACGGTACGTACGCCGTTTGAGTTACTGTATGTAGTCTGAACAAACAACATGTTGGTTAGTTGCATATGTCCGATTGATTGGCCAAATTCTTGTGTTGGTTTTGCATGGCATGCATCTTGCAGATGCAGGCACAGGTGACATGTTAGAAATTTCAATCGATGGGGAATTAGAGATACAGAATTAATGGCCACTTGTGTCGTCAGAAACCACATTGATATACCTCCAGTTAACTCGGTGCATAGTTCAATATATGCGTCCTAAACCAAGCTCACATAGATCACTGAGGGGCCTGGTGCTTTAGCATACAATGCTCTCTGTTAGAGGGGCACCTAGCAACAGTCATTTTTTATGGTGGCTTCAGTAAGTTCATTTATACACCATGATAGTAACTTTGAGGAACAGCTTGTAATAATACTCCTATTAATTTACTGTCGTTTACAACTACTCCTACATTAATATATTGATTATATTTGCCATCCTTTTATTATGTTCTCCTGCATGCAAATGCTGATTTGTATATATACCGATCTGTCATCTCGATCGCTCGCTCGCACTCTGTGCTATACTATTTTCTTGTGGCAGGTAGGCTTAGCTACTCTCTGAGATGTCGAATCGTCTCTCATCATCATCATCATCCCAGAGGCAAGAATCTTCCAGCCATGAAAGCCACTAGTGGGAGCTAGGAGGAGAGGAGGGAAGAAGGGCCGGCATGGCGCGAGTATGTATGACAGACGCCCCTACTTTAACTTTCTCTCTTTCTCTCACCTTCCATCCACATGGTACTATTATCATATGTTAGGCCATCTGTTTTAGTGCACGGCATGGTCATTTGTACTATCCTATTACAAACCATGATATATTTATTTTTCTGGGCCAAAAAGCTATATATAGGTACTCCTCTAACTCTTCATCACCATCATCATGCTTGCACCCTGCCTTTGCACAATTGCACTCATACTGTATCTTGAGATCTCTCTTTTGTCAAGTTTACAACGAGTGCATGCTGGGCTTTTTTTACTCTAGATTTTTTTCCCCGGATGCAAGTTCAACTGCCCATACCAGAAAGTTGCCATATACTATACCTAATGATTCTTTCACCGCTTCACTATGCCCATGTACATACGAACGCGGCCATGTGTAGCTTCTTCTACCTGGATGTACGGCGCTAGCTAGGAATTGAAAATATTGATAATATTTTAGCCATGCAATTAGCACCATTCTTTGGAGGGCCCGGGAAAACATTCTCCTAGGGATGCGGGGCTGCCGAATACTACCAGTCCACCTTGTGGTTGCATTTTGGCCGTCCTAATAAATTAGTGTGCTGCTACTTGTAGCACTACACTCATTAAGGAAGATAAGATATGCTACATTTGGGTGTGTGTGCAAGTGCAACCATGTCCTACAGTCCTAGCCATAGCAGACCACCATGCATTCACCCATGCTTCACGTTTAGTATGCTAGTGGTGTACTACAATGCATCTAGCTATCGTAACCATGACGTACTCTCTGATCGATCCAAAAGGGTGAAAAAAACGTTGAAATTTTACAGGTGTTTTCACTTCATTTAGTGAATCCTGAAAAAGAAATCCTTCATTCTAAAAACAGATATTGTAGAGAGTTTCAATTAGGTTACTTTGCTTAATTACGATTTTAGATAATGTCAAATTACCTGAAACTTCGAACCACCCTCTAAAAAGAAAAAACTCTAGCCACCTCAATGCTAGCTTTTCTAACTCTTAGAATAATATAATACATAGTATTATTACATTATTGACTAAAAAATTGGTATTATTCTTTCCTGTCCTCTCTACTCATTTTGATTTGACAGTGTCGGCTTTTCAATATAGTCAGGATGAAAATCACATAATTTTATGTTCCTGATAACTTTATTTTAATGTAAATAGATAAATTTGTAATGTTGTGAAAGTATTTTTATTTGGTCGACAAGTATTACACCAGTAGTCTTTAAATTATAATCCCTCCGTCCCATAATATAAGAGATTTTGACATTTTGCTTGCACTGTTTGACCACTCATCTTATTCAAAAAAAAATTGTGCAAATATAAAAAACGAAAAGTTGTGCTTAAAGTACTTAGGATAATAAAGTAAGTCACAAAAAATAAAGGTTCCAAAAATAAATAATAATTTTAATTTTTTTAATAAGACGAATGGTCAAACAATATAAGCAAAATATCAAAATCTCTTATATTAGGGGGGAGTATGTCCCTTCCACCTAGGTTCGATTAGTAAAATAATAGCATTGTGAATGCTTTTTCATCCATAAGTAAAAATAAGTAGGAGTATTATAGTTTTCATATCTCCATTTTACATTCTGGATAGTTTTGAGCAGCAGTCTGACGATTCTAATTTATAATATGAAGTAAAAAAAAGAGGCAAATTAAAGTACTTTGTCATATTTTTGCCAAAAAATGATATTGATTTTTATGGTGTAAGATACTTAATTTATAGGTAGCATAAAAATTGATGATTGGTGCGTACTCCACTGAAAAAAAAATCATATATATTACATAGTTTTTTCACTTTATTAATTTCACAATATAAGGCACATGCAACTATATAATGCTATCTCCTCTTTCCCTTTATTTCTCATTATCGATCGTCTCAATATTTATGATCTAATATTCACACAAGTTATTTCTTGTGGCCATTAGAAATCTACAATGTACTTCTATTATTTTTAGCATTGTTTTTCCGTGGCATATTTTTGTTCTTTTGTGCTGAATGGTTGAATAGATAAATGATTTGTGATAATTATTCAAGAGTAGAAACGAATGAATTAACTATTATAAAATTGAAAGATTGATTTTTATAAAGTTCTCTAAGAAATTTATGAAATATTTTACAAAAATTACATCGTTCAAAAGTTCAAAAAGCATTACCGTTAATCCATTCATCCATTAAGCATAATCAAGCTAGATGACATATTTAAGTATTTCATAAATAAGAAAGCTAAGAAAATGGATCATGCATATTCCCTGTAGTATCTATGCCGTCCGATTGGCACTGTGTCTGGGAGTACTTGAAATGATGAACTATATATATATACACCACACTGGATAAGTTACTGTGCTGAGAAATAACGTTTGTTATATTAATTATATTACCATCAGTTACACACCCCCGCTGCTCATTATACCTTGATTAATACTGTGCCAGGCCAAGCGAGATTAAGTCATGGCCGTTGCCTATTAATTGTAATATTTATTGTTCGTATTGCATACAAGCGTGCATGCGTTGGTCGATCACTTGTATATGATAATGCGCAGCTAGTGTACATTTGTGTTACTAGTAAGTAGCTAATGTGCAATTTTTTTTTTTGCGAAAGTTAATATAAAAAAGTTGCTCTTAAAAAATCATTTTAGTTTATTTTTTAAGTTTTTTTAACAAATATTTCGCATTAATAGGCAATACTGTTTTCCGTGCTCAGCTGTAAGAGACGAATCAATCATCACCATACGCATGCATGTAAGCGGCCGGCAACAGAATGTTAGAAACCTACTTTCTCAGTTCTAAAATAAACAAATCTAAATATCTTAAATTCATAATACTAAAGATATGCCATATTTTATACTATGTTTATTTTTTTGACTGAGGAAGTATATATATCTTTATCTTTACTATTATAAAAATTAAAGATGTTTTTGTCGGTAGTTTGGTACATCATCTGTGTATGAGTCGGTTTGTAAGTTCGTTTGCTTTTGAAATTACTATTATAAAAATTGAAGATGTTTTTGCCGTACTTTAGTACGTCATCTGTGTATGAGTCGGTTTTTAAGTTCGTTCGCTTTTGGAAATACGAGACTCATATATATATATATATATATATATATATATATATATATATATATAGTAAATTTGTTTGGTGCTCCATGGTGCCCGGGCACCATTGTTAAAATTGAGTATATACCTAATTCAAATGAGTATGAAACTTTTTCAATTACTTAGATATTAACATTAGCTACTTTACTAACTAGTTCAAAGCAAGTTTGAACTGAATTTGAACTTGTTTTTGTTAGATTTTGATTCTAGGTATATAGCATCCATACATATAATTAGTTAGGTATGTAATCATGGATTGTGAAATAAAGTTAAATTTGAGTTGTTTTGTTGATAGGTATAGGTATGAATCGAGTTATTATAACTAGGTATATACTCACAATTTGAAAATTTTGAAAAATTTGAGTGATTTTGTGTATTTGATATCATGGTGCCCGGGCACCATGGTGCCCCCATATATAGTTAATACCTAAGTAATTGAAAAAGATTCATACTCATTTGAATTGGGTATATACTCAATTTCAACAATGGTGCCCGGGCACCATGGAGCACCAAACAAATTTACTATATATATATATATATATATATATATATATATATATATATATATATATATAAACTCGCATGCTAAATTGAGACGATCAGAATTACAGCTCATGATTAAAATAGTTTTCATCCGTTACAACACAAAGGCATTTTTCTAGTCTTGATAACTTTTAATTAATCCACTATCAAATTAATGACGTTATACGGTTACCCCGCACCAAAAAAGAAATAAAGAAAAACGTTATAGAATGTGCATACGAGCATACCTAATCCTGGACCATTCGATACAGATCCAATAGTCCACCTCCCTCCTTTCTTTAACCCTAAGTCCCTAATTAACCTCCCTTTCTCAAAGTACAGTGTTGATGAGGCTTTGCTGTAATCTCCCTACCTCATGCCTCCATCCTTGACCTGCACACCACCTCCCTTTGACGCATCGACTACCTTATTGCCGCCTTTAACGTTTATAGCAATATACAGTGTTGTGTTCTTTCCCCACCACCGAAAAACTTTCGTTGCATCTTGCAACACCGTCTTCAGTTCTAAACGCTCGGATTTGCTTCTTGGATCACCCTAGCTAATCTAGCGTGCCGGCCTGTTGATGATCCCTGTATTGTCTAGAGCGTGTGTTTGGTTTAGTAATGAGATGGAACGAATCTAACCCATCTTTGTGTTTTGATGGGATGGTTCCACATATATGTTTAATTTGCATGAGAGGTGGA